TCAATTAAAAAAAACAATATATCTTACCCCTTGATTTTATTGTAAACCGATATGTATGAGACGCTAGTTTTGTAAATAATAAAAATGGTAATGTTGGGGTTCGAACCCATGTGCAAATTAATATACCTCTTAGTGTTTAAAAAAACGAGGTGATAAACTGTTACTTTTCACGACTTCCTTCGTTATCTCGCTACTGTAGTCGAGATAAAATGTATTTCACGTCCGACGTTAAAAGCATTTTTTGTAGTAGTGCATATTTGGTTCAACAAATAAAGAACTATGTGAAAAAAGTTATTGACGATGAAAGGAGAGTTCGAGATGTCTATGGTAGGTAAGATGAACTGCTTTCTTGGACTACAAATTAAGTAATTAAAGAATGACATCTTCATAAACCAATCCAAGTATTGCAAAGAATTTTTGATAAGGTTTGATATGGATAGTTGCAAAGCAATGACTACTCCAATGGGTTCTGGAGCGTATGTAGATCAATATGAATCTGATGTTTCCACTAATATCCTAAAATATCGAGGTATGATTGATTCCTTATTATATTTGACGGCAGGTCGTCCTGACATTATGTTTAATGTTTGTCTTTGTTCATGATTTCAAGCAAATCCAAAGGAATCGTATCTTGCCTCCGTGAAGAGAATCATAAAGTATCTCTAAGGAACAACAAACGTCGGTTTATGGTATCCTAAAGGTAGTGTGTGATTTAGTTGGTTATTATTGAATCAAATTATCCAGACAGTAAAACTGACCGAAAAAGCACAAGCGATACATGTCATATCCTAGGAAACACTCTCGTGTCTTGGTCCTGCAAAAAGTAAGCATGTGTGGCTCTTAGTATAGTTAAAGCAAAATATATTGCAGTAGGGAGTTTTTGTGCACAAATCCTTTGGTTAGAACAACAACTTTGCGACTATGGCGTGAACCTTGGATGTATTCCATTGAAATGTGATAATACAAGTGCAATAAACATAACAAAAAATATAGGCATACACTCAAGAACCAAACATATAGACATTTAACATCATTTTTTACAAGATCATGTGCTTAAGGTTGATGTTGAAGTAACATTTAGGGATACTCATAACCGATTGAGATATTTTCACAAAATAACTAACAAAATAACAGTTTTTCAAAATTCGAAGAGAACTAGAAATATTGGATGAGCATGATGTTTAATCATCACATAAAGAGAGATCTACAATCATTAAATGATAACATACACTCTCTTCTAAAATTGTATCAAGGTACATATTTTATGTTTCATTTTATGAGTTAATTCACAATTCATGTGCGAATTAACATATTTCCGTTATTCTTCTTGGTTATATAGTCTATATGAACATGTTTGACTTTTATAATATGAGATACATGATTAAAATTTTATCTTACATGTTGAATGTGAAGTATGTTAAAAAAATTTCAAAATGTTTTATGCATGTAACCGGTTACATGATTGAAAATTTATTTTTATTTTAATTTTTTTTAATGGACGTGTGGTGGTAACCGGTTACAGAGTTCTATTAACCGATTACACCTATTAAAAACCACTTTTTCATAATTGCTTTTATGGCTTTTAGTGCTTGGTCAACCTTCTTCCATTCACTTTCTCTACAGAAAACCCTATCTTAAATTACCTAGTCATCTCCCAACAACTTCCAATGAAAATATTTACTCCTCACTTATCAAATCACTCTATAGATTACCCACTTTTCTTACACTTCCCATCACATTTTCCTCATTACCCACAATCTTCAAAATCACATAAACACCCCAAAACAACTTTCAACTTAGCATCCATGGCTCCTCCAAGAAGAGAAAAAGTCAAAGGTAAAGTTGCTGGTGATTCATCTCAACATGCACACATCAAACTTGATCCATTGAACCTTGGAAGGTTGGTTCAAACCTCCAAAGAGAAGAGGTTGCTACTTGCTTTCAGAAACATAACTCTAACAACACCCAAGTATGGTAATCTGTCTGCTTTTCTTGTAGATAGTTTTGATTTCCCTACATCATTTAATTTTCAAGGGTTAGGGCACACTATACCCTGATTTAGTCAAAAAAAATTACTGCAATTTGTCTATTGAACTTGGGTGTGTGGTAAAATCATCTATGAATGGAAAGGAAATTGTGTTAACCATTGAGGACTTTGGAAAATGTTTAAGTATTCCATATGAGGGTGAGAGAATATGTCAAAGTTTTACCTATGATTGGAAGGACTATGAGAAAAATAGATACTACTTTAGCATATGTAGGTTATCTTAGCATGAGATCTTTGCAAAACAAGCTAGAAAGTGACGGAAGCCTCTTATATGTTTCCTTATGTCTTTTATATTTTCTTGTTATGTCTAAGTATTATGCAATTTTCATGTCTCTACATTTTCGTTTTTTTATTGTCTATGTTATGATTCCTATTATGTTTTGATATGTAACTTTAGGACAAGTTTTGTGTTATGGACTGTGGATTATGTTTGCATTATGTTATGTATTTCTGTTATGTTTCAAATTATGTTATGGTATAAATTTTGTTTTCAATTCAATACTTTGTTGTTCTCTTTTTCCCCTTACTTTTGATAATGAAAAAATGGGAGAAAATATGTATGTGTTCTTGTATCCTCTAACATATGCAACAACAAAGTCTTCAAAAACTCTATTGATCAAGGGGGGTTATCAAAATTAGGGGGAGCACTTGCTTAAGAGCGTTACAATCTTTACAATGTTCAAAGAAATTCAAACAGTTCAAATTTTCAAAGGCTATCATCATCAAAAAAGGGGAGATTGTAAAGACAAACTTCTCTAACGTTGTGCTTTGATGAAGACAAATATAATCTCGCAAGATCATGTGCATTATCAAAGGATGAAAAAAAAAGTTTCATGTTCAAAGCTCTATGGTATCAATATCACAAGCAACAATGTCAAGATAATCTTGGACCTTAGAAGATTGATCTCTTCATTGAGGTACAATTTTCAATTTGATCATGTGTTTTATCATAGTGCTCAGAAACATCATAAACATTTTAACTTGATGCATAAAATGTCTTTTGATATCAAATGGTTTTGCATCTCAAATTTACTTAAGGTATTTTTCACTTCTGCATCAAGTGTAACCGGTTACACAATATTGTTAATTGGTTACAAGAACTTGATTTTAAATATTTTTTAAAGTTCATCAAGTGTAACCGATTAAGCAATACATGTAACCGGTTACAACTTCGAAAATTTTGAATTTTTATAACACATTTCAATTGTAACCGGTTACGATTATGTGTTAACCAATTACCACTAAAGCAGTGACACTTTTTGGCATAAAATCTTATTCCAATGAATTTTAAAGTGCATCTATCAATCATGGCATTGTTTCATGAGATCATACTTCTTCAAAAAGGTAGGGAAATGGATTCCCAACTCACATATATGAGGTGACGTATTGACGGCTTAGGGAGACAGCAAACCAGAAACAAAGAAACATAAATGCGTTGATTCCTCCTGTAAAGTACTCTAAACATTTCCAAATCTTTATACATTCAGGTACGTCTTCAATACAACCAACCGATGTTGTTAAAAGACCTCTCGGTCCCTAAGATCCCAGGAAGTCTTGGGGGCAATTGTTTCGAGCTGGTCATATCCTCTATTGTTCGACCAACACAAGGCGTAACATTCCGAATCTAAGTCACACATTTATTAAACTTTTGAAATATTCTCCTCACCACTGAACCCCCAAAAATCTGGAAGCAATGGATCTGCTCTCTCAACGCATCCAACGATCTTCTGTAGTCCGCATCGAGAAGATAATGAGGTAGTTATTTTGCTCCCCTATATAGGTGGATAGTGTCATTTTATGTAACAAGTTTCAAACACAATTTGAATACTCTCACATCATTCACATACTGACTTGAGCATTGGTGTGTTAACCTTGCAAGTACTCCTTCTGCTCTGTCGCACCGGAAGCTCTTCACCATCGCAACTTCCGTGACTCTACACATTTCTTGTTTCGGAACGGAACAACTTTAATAAATTGGACCAAGTCCTTAATGGAATAGGCCGTGAGTTGGCTTTTCTAATTGATTAGAAATACTTCTTAATTGATTTCATATGTGCATTGATAGGTTTTAAGAAGTTTAATGAAATTAGAGAGGGTTTGAAAAGATTTGTGTGTGTGTGTGTGACTTTCTTAGTACTTCAAGACTTGCTCTTGATCTTTTATAATTTAAATTGGTCAGTCTAAGATGTTAAGCGCATGAGTAGTGAGTTCTCACACTTTATCACCTTCAGACTTCAAGATCTTTTACTTGATTCAACGATTGGTTAGCACTTCAACTGTAATTTTAAATCATCTAATTGATGAGGCTTAAGATATCTTCTTCTTGAACAAATGCTATCATTAGAATTTCCTGGACGATTGATATCAACTCCCTCTTTGATGGTTGTCGCAAAGAAACCTTGAAATGAGCTATCAATATTCAAAAGTTGTTTGACTTATACAATTATCATCTTTAAAAATAGTTTGACAATTATTATCAGTTGTCATCATGAAAATCAATCGACGATTACACCTGCATATCGCATAGATACACAAAACACATATAGTATTCATATCGCATAGATACACAAAACACATATAGCATTGGTACAAATACAGCTTTAGGGGAACATATGTCTTACAAATAAGGATATGATTTTCATTTGAAGAGACATAATTTTGCTAACATAAGTGAAAGATGCATAAATATCATTATATCCTTGAGTAATTTTTATAATACCTATAATATCTTGGAGAAAAAAAAAATCATGAGTATGATTCATAGTCTGCTGATTTGAAGTGAAGCACCATATAATGTTTATTAGTACTTACAGTCTTCAACATTTGGAACAAGCTTCAACACAAGTATCTATCCAAAAAGTTAAATCACTTCATATGATTAATTAGAAGCTCTCACGTGCATTCTCTCTGTAATATAACTTAGAGTGATACATTATTAATAAAAGTTGTAAAACTATATATTTTTTATCCATGTGATAAAACTAAGAAGATTATTATTTGACACACCATCTTCTCCAATACAAGTCTTCACCTTCTCCATGAGTTCTTTAGCCCTTCCTTTCAACTCTTCATCATTCAAAACTTGTTCTATTTTGCTCACAATCTCAGCTTGTCTAATAACACCACTTTCATCTTTTTCAAGCTCCATTCCCACTTTCCAAACATCACATACATAGCTCCTATTCAAAAATTGATCAGCAAAATAAGGCCAACACAACATTGGAATCCCATTTCCAACACTCTCTAATGTTGAGTTCCAACCACAATGACTTATAAAGCAAGCAACCGATGAATGACTCAAAATTTTCTTTTGCGGCGACCAACCAACCATTCTACCTCTTTTACTTACCCTTTCTTCAAATCCTTTCGGATAAATATTCTCCGTGGGTTCGGTTATATCTGTCCGCATAACCCACAAGAAAGGCCTATTGGACCGTTCGAGACCGAAGCATAGTTCTTGAAATTGAATAGTACTAAAAGTTGTGAAACTTCCAAATGCAATGTAGATTACTGAGTTTGGTGATTGTTGATCTAGCCATTTCAAACAAGTTTGATCTTGTGGCAAAAAATTTCCTATGGAGTATTGATTGCTTGAAAAAATTGGTCCTATTGGTATGATTTCCGGAGCTAGTGAAAATGCAGCAGCCTCAAGCTCATGAGATGAATTGCTAAGAAGCCATTTAGTTAAGTGCATACAGTTTATGTTTTTCATCATAAGTTGAAAAATATGCTTCTGAGTTGTTTTGTTCCCAACATTAAGCCAAACAAGATTTTCTGTACTTACACATGGCATTGTTGGTGATAGATGAATCACTTGCTTCTCCAATGGAGTTCCTACATAATTTAAATTTCAAAACATGATAACTAAATTAGTAATACTTATTTTGATTATGTATCTATGTCATGACTCATGTGAAAAAGTTATATCCGTTCTAAGACCGACTAATCTGAAGGACTAATCCCACAGTCTACTAGCACGAGCCTAGAGAATAGCGCACTCCTAAATCTCAAATCTTCGCCACTAGACAAAAACAAAATAAAAGAATTTTCTATCTATGAAACTACTAACAACCAAAAACTATGAACTCACCATCTTTGTCAATGACTCCATCATCAATCAATTTTTGGATACTCAATCCCAAAACCAACTGTGCTGCAGAAGCAGGACAAAAAGCAGCACAAGCAATTCCCTTCTTTTCCGCCATTTCAAGAGCCCAACCAATACTCTGATCAGCAAGAACACATGTAATCTTTTCACTTTCCGATCCATGAATGCATTCAATTAACTCCTCAACTTTCTTCGGCATAACATTCAACACCGATTCTATGGATTCTAATCCATCAGAAATCCATACCGTACAAATTTCAGACAATAATAATAAATCATTTCCACTTGGAAATGAGTTCTTGATCCTGTCATGGTTTTCTTTGGTGTTCACAAAAGTTACTTTAACACCATTTTGGACTAAATAGAGAGATAACTCCATCAGAGGAATCACATGTCCTTGTACTGGATAAGGTACAACCATAACATGTGGTTTTTCCATCCTAAGATGCTGCTAGTTTGGCAGAATGTTATGCCATCTCATAAAATTACAAAAAGATAAAGAACCTGTTTTATTTTTTAATGTTACTGATTTTCTTGACAAATTTTTAATTTTTTTCTGAATTATTCGTTCATGTATTAAAATTGAGTTATTTGTGTCGTTTGTATTTGTCTTTTTCTTTTTGGGATCAAAGTTAGATAATTTTGTTATGAATTAGTAATACCTATGTGAGAAAAATAAAAGAAAATAAAACTTTGTTATTGCGTGCAACACCTGTTCTCGTGTTCAATTTGGTTGTTCTCAAGTCATCTTAATTATTTGCAATATTAATTCAACCAATTCTGCAGTTGGTTCTGTCAGTCCTGGTGCATTTAATGGTGGTGTTCTACAACCTGAAATGATTCAACAAATAGTACTTTATATTCTTTGTACTTTAAAAATTCAGATGAGTCTTCTAATGTTTTTCAACCATAGTTTCCTAATTCTTATGCAATCGCATGATGGGTTCCTCTGAATATTTGCACAATTTACATACTTATAATGGTAATCAGCAAATTGAAATTGTCGATGATAATAAACTTTTTATCACTGATGTTGGTGACATAAACTTTAACTTTCACAACGTGCTTATATCACCCAGACTTCCTTCCAACTTATTATCGATTGGACAACTGGTGGATAATAATTGTAATATTAATTTTTATTGTGTTGGTTATGTTGCGCAGGAGCAGGTGTCAGAAAAGGTGATCGCGAAGGGACCTAAAGTGGGAAGATTGTTTACGCTCCAGTTTAGTTCTAGTCATTTATCTTTTGCTTGTAATAATATTTTGAACTCGTATGAGGATTGGCATAGAAAATTGGACCATCCAAATTTTGTTATTTTGTCTCATTTATTAAAAATTGGTTTGTTGGAAAATAAACATGTTTGTACGCCTTCTATTTCATGTTTTGTTTGCAAATTGGCTAAAAGTAAAACACTTCCTTTTCAGTCAGGTGTTCATCGTGCCTCCACTTGTTTTGAGATGATTCATAGTGATGTGTTGGAAATGTACCCAGCAGCATCTCATGCTCAATATAAATACTTTGTCACATTTATTGATGATTACAGTCATTTTACTTGGATATATTTTCTTAGATCTAAGTCTGAAGTGTTTTCTATGTTTCAAAACTTTTTGACATATGTTGAAGCTCAATTTCAAAGAAGTGTTAAAAAAATTTGATATGAATTTGGAGGTGAGTATATGTCTCATGAGTTTCAGGAGTACCTTCAACAAAAAGGGGTAATGTATCAACGATCTTGTCCAAATACTCCCCACCAAAATGGGATGGCGGAGCGAAAGAATCGTCATTTGCTAAATGTAACGCGCACCTTACTTCTTTAAGCTTTTGTGTCATCCTGATTTTGGGTAGAGGCTCTTTCCACTGTCGTATTCTTGATCAATTGTCTTTCGTCTACGATTATTGATTTTGATTATCCCTTCTTTCTTCTTTTTAAAACTCAGCTTGATTATAGTAATTTACATACTTTTGGTTGTGCGTGTTTTGTTCACTTACCTCCGTTTGAACGAAATAAACTTGGAGCATATTTTGTTCAATGTGTATTTATGGGGTATAACAACTCTCATAAGGGGTCTTTAATCACCGCTTTTGAGTTTCTAGGAATGTTACATTTTTTTATAATCAATATATGTTTCATTCTCTTTCTCCTACCACAAATGATATTGATATTCTTCCTAATTTTTCTTTTATGCCTCAATCTATAGAATGTTACAGACCAGGAATCACATATGCCAGACAATGCAGAAAATAGGTTCCCACTTCCCCTCCCGACACCAATTCGCCACCGGATCCTGAACCGGTCGAACCACGACGTTCTGGTCAAATATCTAAAGCACCAGATAGATATTCACCACGTAGATTAAAAAAAAGAAAAAAAAACTTTGTTATTGCGTGCAGCACCTGTTCACATGTTCAATTTGGTTGTTCTCAAGTGATCTTAATTATTTGCAATATTATTTCTATGGCTTCCGAAACAGAAAGAAATTGTATTTGTGAATTTAATTACAAACAAGTATTTTGGTTGGAGTTAGAGATAGCTAATTATAAACAAGGTGTCACCTTGTCTGTTCAATAATACTATTTTGGTTTTTTAAATCTGTCACCGACCAGCACAACGACCAGCCCAGGCATTCAATGCCACTACCAACTCTGTAGTTGGTTCTCTCACTGCTGGTGCATCTAATGGTGGTGTTCTATAACCTGAAATGATTCAACAAATGGTACTTTATGCTCTTTCTACCTTGGGAATTCAGGATGAGTCTTTTAATGTTTCTCAACCATGGTTTCTTGATTCTGGTGCATCCAATCGCGTGATGGGTTCCTTTGAATACTTGCACAACTTACATTCTTATAATGTTAAACAACAAATTGAAATTGCTGATGGTAATAAACTTTCTATCACCGATGTTGGTGACATAAACTCTAACTTTCGCGACGTACTTGTATCGCCCAGACTTGCTTTCAACTTATTGTTGATTGGTCAATTGGTGGATAACAATTGTAATATTAATTTTTATCGTGTTCGAAGTGTTGTGCAGGAGTAGGTGTCGGGAAAGGTGATCACGAAGGGACTTAAAGTGGGAAGATTATTTCCGCTCCAGTTTAGTTCTAGTCATTTATCTTTTGCTTGTAATAATGTTTTGAACTCATATGAGGATTGGCATAGAAAATTGGGTCATCCAAACTCTATTGTTTTGTCTCATTTATTAAAAACTGGTTTGTTGGAAAACAAACATGTTTGTACGGCTTCTATTTCATGTTTTGTTTGCAAATTTGCTAAAAGTAAAACACTTCCTTTTCCGCCAGGTACTCATCGTGCCTCCACTTGTTTTGAGATGATTCATAGTGATGTGTAGGAAATGTACCCTGCAGTATCTCATGCTCACTATAAATATTTTGTCACATTTATTGATGATTACAATCGTTCTACTTGGATATATTTTCTTAGATCTAAGCCTGAAGTGTTTTCTATGTTTCAAAATTTTTTAACATATGTTGAAACTCAATTTCAAAGAAGTGTTAAAACTTTCTGAATCTGAAAGTAAGTATATGTCTCACGAGTTTCAAGAGTACCTTCAACAAAAAGGGGTAATGTCTCAACGATCTTGTCCAAATACTCCCCAACAAAATGGGATGGCGGAGCAAAATAATCTTCATTTGCTAAATGTAACGTGCACCTTACTTCTTTAAGCTTCTGTGTTATCCCGATTTTGGGTAGAGGCTCTTTCCATTGCCGTATTCTTGATCAATCATCTTTCGTCTACGGTTATTGATTTTGATTATCCCTTCTTTCGTCTTTTTAAAACTCAGCTTGATTATAGTGATTTACATACTTTTGACTGTGTGTGTTTTGTTCACTTACCTTCGTTTGAATAAAATAAACTTGGAGCACATTCTGTTCAATGTGTATTTATGGGGTATAACAACTCTCATAAGGGGTCTCTAATCACTGCTTTCGAGTTTCTAGGAATTATACATTTTTTGATAATCAATATATGTTTCATTCTCTTTCTCCTTCCACAAATGATATTGATATTCTTCCTAATTTTTCCTTTATGCCTCAATCTATAGAATGTTACAAACCATGAATGACATATGCCAGACAATGCAGAAAATAGGTTCCCACTTCCCCTCCCGACACTAATCCGCCACCGGATCCTGAACTGGTCGAACCACGACGTTCTGGTCAAATATCTAAAGCACCAGATATATATTCACCAGACAAGTATGATTCCTCATATACTTCTCTGACTACCTCATTGTCTAGCATATTTATTCCTACTTGTTATGCACAGATTATTAAAGATGTGAACTGGATAAAAGCAATGAATAAGGAACTTTAGGCTCTTTAAGAGAATTTTACATATGATATTGTCTCTTGTCCCCCTTATATCAAACTCATAGGTTACAAATGGGTGTATTCTATGAAACTGAATTCTAATGGGTCTCTCAACTATTTCAAGGCTTGATTGTTGCCTTAGGAAATAAGCAGGAATATGGAATTGATTATGATAAGACATTTGCACCGGTTTCCAAAATGACATATGTTCGTACGTTACTCTTAATAGCTGCATCGGACGGGTGGGCTCTTTATAAAATGGATGTGAAAAATGTTTTTCTTCATGCTGACCTGACAGAAGATATTTATATGAATCCTCCTCAAGGTTTATTCTCGTTGTCTAAGGGTGTGTGTAAGCTCAAATGCACCTTATACAGTTTGAAACAAACGCCTCGAGCATGGTATGAAAAATTTCGCTCCACTCTAATTGGGTTCTCCTTTACTCAGAGTCTGTGTGATTTTTCTCTATTTATTCATAGAACATTTATTAGAATTGACCTACTTCTTATGTGTGTTGATGATATGATTATTACTAGTTATGGTCATGTTTCCATTCAAAGCCTTAAACAGTAGTTACAAGCATCATTTCATATGAAAGAACTTGGTAATTTGAATTATTTCCTTGTCTAGAGGTTCATTATACATCCAAGGGCATCTTCCTTTATCAACACAAGTATGCCACATATCTAATTTCTATGGCTGGTCTCTAATCGGCCAATCCAACAGATACTTCTCTTGAGATTAATGTTAAATATCATTGTGTTGATGGTGATCTCTTGCCTGATCCCTTATTGTATCGTCAACTCGTGTGTAGCCTTAATTACTTGACTATTACTCTCCCTGGCATATCTTTTATTGTTCAACAAGTAAGTCAATTCGTGCACTCTCCTCGCCATCTTCACTTGGAAGCGGTTTTTTTGCATAATTCTCTACTCGAAAGGAAGCTCTCATTGTGGTTTATTCTTTCCTATGGGAATTGATCCAAAATTGAATGCTTACAATGATGCCGATTGGGCAGGGTGTTCTGATACTCAGTGATTTGTCACTGGTTGATGCATGTTTCTTGCCTCCTTATTGATCTCATGGAAAAGCAAGAAACAAG